TGGGAGTAGAAGTACAAATTGTCATGTCAAAAACGAGCTTTACAATGTCGGTGGGGGGGGAGGGGGGGAAGGATTGGGTGGGAGGGAGGGGGGAGGCTGGGAAGGGAGGTGAAGGGTAAACAAAGGAGGAGGCTGTAATGCTTGGTAAGAAATGTATGCATTATCCTGACCATGTAATTGTAACCCCTCTGTACAGTATGTTCACAAATAAAATAAAATATAAAAAAAAAAGAATTAAGCTGGGACCAGCTTGTAAAAACTTAGTGAGACTTAAACACCTAAATAAATAATTAAAGGCATTTATCATCAAAAAAAAAGAATTAAGCTGGGTATGGTGCCACATGCCTATAATCTTAGCACTTGGGAGGCTGAGTCAGGAAGATCTTTTTTTTTTTTTTTTTTTTTCGGTCGTGGGGCTTGAACTCTGGGCCTGGGCGCTGTCCCTCAGCTCTTCAGCTCAAGGCGAGTGAGCGCTCTACCACTTGAGCTACTGCGCCACTTCCGGTTTTCTGGTGGTTTATTGGAGATAGGAGTCTCACGGTCTCTCCTGCCTGGGCTGGCTTTGAACCATGATCCTCAGATCTCAGCCTCCTGAGTAGCTAGGATTACAGGCATGAGCCACCAGCGCCTGAAGTCAGGAAGATCTTAACCAGCCTGGGCTACACAGTAATAGATTATTTTAAAAACAAACAAAAAAATGCAGATAAGAATGAGAGGGATTAAGCTAGATGCTGGTGACTCACATCTGTAAAGTTAGCTACTCAGAAGGCTGAGAGCTGAGAATCACCATTCAAAGCCAGCAAAGATAGGAAAGACCACTACACTTTTATCTTCAACTAACCACCAAAAAAGCAGAAAGCAGAGCCATGACTCAAGTGGTAGAGTGCTAGTTTTGAGCAAAAAGGCTCAGGAAAAGTGCCAGTCTCTGAGTTCAAGCCCCAAGACTGGCACATTAAAAAAAAAGGGGGGCTGGGAATGTGGCTTAGTGGGAGAGTGCTTGCCTAGCATGCATGAAGCCCTGGGTTTGATTCCTCATAAACAGAAAAAGCTGGAAGGTGCTGGGAAGATGGCTCAGTGGGGTACAGTGCTTGTCTTGCATGCATGAGGCCCTGGGTTCCATTCCTCAGCACCACATAAGCAGAAAAAGCCGGAAGTGGCGCTGTGGCTCAAGTGACAGATTGTAAAAGAAGCTCAGGGCCATTCCCAGGCCCTGAATTCAAGCCCCAGTACTGGCCAAAAAAAAAAAAAAGAGGTGGAAACTTTAAGTATTTATTAGTTTCATAAGCCTCAGCCTAAGGAAGGATTTTTTTTCTTAATTTAAAATTTGAGGCAAGGTATCACACTATGTTGCCCATCCAGCCTTGAACTCCTGGGCATAAGCAATCCTGCCTCAGCCTCCCAAGTCGCTGAGATTACAGGTGCTTGCCAGCAGTATAAGGAAAGAAAAATACTTCTAACAACTTCATGACCTGAATATTTCTTTTTTTTTTTTTTTGGTCAGTCATGGGGCTTGAACTCTGGGCTGGATGCTGTTCCTGAGTTCTTCAGCTCAAAGCTAGAACTCTACCACTGGAGCAACAGCACCACTTCCAGCTTTTTCTGTCTATGTGGTGCTGAGGAATTGAACACAGGGCCTCATGCATGCAAGGCAAGCACTGTACCACTGAGCCACCTTCCCAGGCCTGCACTCATTATTATTATTTTTGTGTGTCAGTCGTGGGGCTTGAACTCTGGGCTTGGGTGCTATCCCTGCTCTCTTCAGTTTCATGCATGCTAGGCAAGCACTCTACCAATAGGCCACATTCCCAGCCTGGAGTCCTTTCTTTCTAAAGGTAATATAACTGGTAGCATATAGTTTCATTTTTGCTTTTTTGAGATAGAGTCTTGTAATACAGCTGTCAGACTGGTCTGGATCTTGCTATATGGTCAAGTCTGGCCTGGAGCCTTGAGACCCTCTTGCTTCCACTTCCAGTGCTCAGATTATAAGCCTGAGTCACCATATGAAAGTTTCCTCCACCCTTTTGGTACTGGGGATTGAATCTAGGGCCTTACATATGCTAGGTAAGTGTTCTGCTGTACCTGGAAGGCATCTAAGTAAATAATTAGCAGTGCTATCAGGCACTTCAGAGTCCTATATAAGAGGAGGGATGTGCATGTTCTGAGTTTCTATCACTATAATTGTGAACAAAAATCCACAGTATTACCTGAACACATTCTTCCAGATCCATCTTTTCAAGCTCATGGCAATTCTACAAAGTACAAAACCAGAAAATACAGTTCAGAGTTCTAAAACATTTGAAAATTTTTAAGGCCAAAAATGAAAGAGGTAGTATTAAACATACTGATGAAAGCTTAAAGTGTTTCAGAATTGTCATTCAGTGTCATCTTTTACTTATTCTATTAGTAAAACATTGAAAAGGCTTGAGGGTGTGAATGGGGAAATTTTGATCATAGTGAAACTCTCAATTACTCCACATTTCAATATTGTAGTGTAATTAAATATTTAAGTACTAAATATTTAAGTAAGTCCAAGAGAATAAGTATGCTGAATATTAATACAGGGCTAATATAGAAATCTTTTTCAACCAGAAAGAGTTAAATGAAAATTTTATCTCTAGAAGAGAAAAGACAAGCTTTATTTATATTCTTTTTTTTTTTTTTTTTGGTCATGGGGCTTTAAACTCTGGGCCTGGGCACTGTCCCTCAGCTCTTCAGCTCAAGGTTAGTGCTCTACCACTTGAGCCACAGCACCACTTCCTGTCCTTTAGTTGGGTATGCTGACCTTTACCCAATCATTACTCTATCCATCTCTCTGAAAGTAAATGACATCCTCTCTGTTCTATAACATTGGTCAATCAGTATAATTTTTAGTATTATTACTATATAATGATACACTATTCAAACTACTAAAACCTAAGAGAACACAGAAAATCTCTTAAAAACCAAACTCTCACCTATCAGTCACATACTAAATACAAGTTTCTTTAATAAAGCACAAAGCAGTTCCTGTTTACTTTAAATTACCATCTAAAGAAACTATAGAGGGGCTGGGAAGGGGCTCAGTGGTAGAATGCTTGCCTTGCATGCATGAGGCCCTGGGTTCGATTCCTCAGCACCACATAAGCAAAAAGAAAAAAGCCAGAAGTGGCGCTGTGGCTCAAGTGGTAGAGCGCTAGCCTTGAGCTGAAGAGCTGAGGGATAGCGCCCAGACCCAGAGTTCAAGCCCATGACAGACCATAGAAAAAAGAAACTATGGAGAACTCAAGTCTCTCCAAAGAGTATTAGGTTTTCTAACCTTTCCAGAACAGTTTATATTTCTAGTGGCATTAGCAGGTCTGTAGGTGTAACATAAGAATGCTCAGAAAACTAGCCATAGAGAGTCCCCCTAATTTTGCTGCACCGCTACATTTCCCTTCCTGCATATTCTCCTGAACTAATGCTTCCTGCCCACCTGCCTCCCCCTCCCTCTCCCCCCCAAAACAAACCAACTTTGGAAACAAATGTATAGAAATTGGAGAAAACACTTACCCTGGCTAGAGTAGTAAAACCCACATCTGTTAATTGAGAACATCGTGCCACTTCTAATATTCTGTTAAAAAAAAAAAAAACAACAGTGTAAATCAAGCTCTTGTTTCCTGAAAATGATTCTATTAAACCAGGAAGAATGGAAGAAAAAAAATATCCTACTCTCTAAGGATTTCATAATATAGAATGACAACAGCTAAGCAAGACTGTATATAGTTCTTGCTATTTATTTTCATGAAGTCATCATAAAGTGGTCCCATAAATACCACTTGTCAGGGAGATATAATCAAAGAACACAGAAGAATATAACTGAAGCCTGTAGTTAATGCCAAAATGCATTAAAACCTTCTTGATGGCATACTGCTTACCCCCAGAGGGCAGCCTGCTCCTAGAAAACAAAGGAAATGGAGATAAATACTCTATTTCAGTTAATTTGTTGCTGAAGTAAATTATTTTCTTTTCCTGTTTTACATGTAGGTTCACATAGATTTAAACAGCTTTTTAAAAATGCAACTGAGGGACTGATTAATTGGAAGTCTGCCCCAAATATGCAATTCCATGTATATGAACACATCCTGCTTTCTCCCACAGCTCCTGTGGAGGCCCAGTGGAGAGGGCAGCTCCCTGGCAGCTATTCTCCTATTTAGTAACTGCTGAACACCAACCTAAATACCAACCACAGCACTGGGGAATCTCAAGTAGTTATTTGCTGTGAAAAAAATCTAGTGGCCTCTGTACTTACTATACAATGGTACCAAAGAACATTTACCTGCTTCCTTACAAATTATGACCAAACTTTAAAGATTAAAGCTAACGTATAAAAAAATCATAATCAGCTAAAAAGTATTTTGAGATTAATCCTATAACCAATGGGAAAGCATAGTCTAATCGAGACACAACTTATGATATTCACATTTGAGAGTATTCCCATTCTAGAGGAATAATGATACAAACAGAATGTTGGTAAAGCCACATAAAATAGAGTATGATTATTAATTTTTGAGAGAGGTCTGATTACCTCATTAATTCCTGAGAAGTACTCTACTCTAGGCATCTGATACTGCTGCTTGTGACCAACTGACTGCTGGTGAATGCTCTTTTTTTTGTTTGCTTTGTTTGCTGGTCCTGGGGCGTGAAATCCTGGGGCCTTGTCCCTGAGCCACTTTGTTCTCAAGGCTACAGCTCTACCACTTGAGCCACAGGGCCACTTCTGGCTTTTTGAGTAGTTTATTGGAGATAAAAGTCTCACTGACTTTTCTGTTTTTTTTGTTTGTTTGTTTTTGTCGGTCATGGGGCTTGAACTCTGGGCCTGGGCGCTGTCCCTCAGCTCTTCAGCTCAAGGCAAGCGCTCTACCACTTGAGCCACAGCGCCACTTCCGGTTTTCTGGTGGTTTATTGGAGATAGAAGTCTCACGGTCTCTCCTGCCCGGGCTGGCTTTGAACCGCGATCCTCAGATCTCAGCCTCCTGAGTAGCTAGGATTACAGGCGTGAGCCACCAGCGCCCGGCTCTCACTGACTTTTCTGCCCAGGCTGGCTTCTACCCATGTTCCTCAGATTTCAGCCGCCTGAGTAGCTAGGATTACAGGCATGAGTCACTGGCACGAAGCTTCATGCTAATGCTCTTATAATAACAATTATAGTTAGGTCTATTATCCAATTAGCAAAAAAAGATGTTTTTAGAAGGTTTGGTAATTACTAAGGTAAGAAGTAGTTTCACAGGCTCTGGTGAAAGACTGCCTGGCTTTGAATCCTTGCTTCTGCACCTTCAGGTGTGAAATTTGAGCAGATTACTTCACCTCTCTTGTACTTTGGCTTTCTCATCTATAATATGGAGACAATAATGGTGCTTATATGATGTTATGGAAATTAAATGTGGTAATATTTGTAGGAATCTAAAGCAATAAAGGCAAGTGGGGATCATTTCTATGCATCACAGAATAATGTGTTATGTCCTTTTTGGGTCTGCATATATGTATATACACACACACATACAGCTGGTTGTGGGGCTTGAACTCTGGGCTTGGGCCCTATCCCTCAGCTCTTCAGTTCAAGGCAAGCGCTCTACCCTTGAGCCACAGCACCACTTCTGGTTTTCTAGTGGTTTACTGGAGGTAAGAGTCTCTCAGACTTTCCTGCCTGGGTTGGCTTTGAACCATGATCCTCAGATCTCAGCCTCCTGAGAAGCTAGGATTACAGGTGTGAGCTACCGGTGCCCGGCTGTGGGTCTGTATATTAAAATGGAACTCTTAGTAACATAAAATTTTTTCTAGTTCAAATATCAAATTGTTGTCTTTTGGCTCATGGCAAAGTAGAAACCAAAATATAAATCATGTTGTAGCTATCTAGAAGGGCAGTGGTATTACAGTGTTAAAATTTCAAAGCTACAAGGCATAAATATGGATAAGGAGGTTTTCCTTTTCCTTTTTTTTTTTTTTTTTGGTGGTGGTTCTGGGTTTGAACTTATGGCCCAGGCTCTGTCCCTAAGTTTTGGCCCAACAATTGAGACACAGCTCTATTCTGACTTTTTTGATAGTTAAAATAGTCTCACTGACTTTCTTGTCTGGGCTGACATTGAACCATGATTCTCTGATCTCAGCCTCCTGGATAGCTAGAAATATAGGCATCAGCCACCAGTACCTAACTTCCTTGATTTTTTTTTTTGAGCTAAATAAGAAAAGTTTACCTAAGCCGAGGGCAGTTCTGACCTAGAGCATTCAAGATGGCATCTGTGATGTTGGAGCAGCCAGAGGCACAGAGGGACTGCAACTTATGGCACCCTCTGCAGATAGTAATGAGACCTTCATCTGTGATTTGCTAAAAGAGAGAAAGGTGGGGGGAGAAATCCAGAGATATTAGTCACTTAGCAAAAGAAAAAGAGAAAAAATAATTCAAAGGGTATTTACTGCTTATCTATCAGTCAGTAGTTTTTCATAGTGTGACCTTAGTAGGTCACACTAACACATCTTAACTGGTTATAAAGTATGATTGTAATATTATTTTATTTTTGGTGCTGGTTCTGAGGCTTGAACTCAGGGCCTGGGAACTATAACTGAGCTTTAGTGCTCAAGGCTAGCATGATACCACTTAAGCCACAGCTCCACTTCCAATTTTTTTGTGTTTAATTGGAGATAAGATTTCCATGGACTTTTCTGCATAGGCTGGCTTCAAACCGAGATCCTCAGATCTCCAGAGTAACTAGAATTACAGGCATGAGCCACCTGTACCCAGCTTAATAATGTTAATTTTAAATACTGATGTTTTCTTTTAGTAAGTGGTCAATCTCTTTCTCCCCATGACCTAACCCTCCCCTTTTGGTGGTACTAGAGATTAAATTCAGGGCCATTTTAGTCATATCTTTAGTTCCTTTTTGCTTTTTTTTTTTAAGGTCTCAGTAGTGGGACTTGGGCACTGTCCCTGAGCTCTTCAGCTCAAGGTTAGCACTCCACCACTTGAGCCACAGCACCAATTCTGGTTAATTGGAAATAACAGTCTCATGGACTTTCCTGCCTAGGCTGGCTTTGAACCATGATCCTCAGATCTCAGTCTTCTGAGTGGCGAGGATTACAGGCATGAGCCAGCTTTGCACTGTTTTTTTTGCAGTAGTATCATGCTTCATGCCTAGGCCAGCCTGAGCTTCCATCTGCCTACTTGTGCTTCCCAGATTCACTGGAGATGATAGGCATGCACCACTGCACCCAGTCATTGTGCTTCACTGGGATATCAGGCTACAGGCATCTTACTCAGCCACTGGTTGAGATGGAATCATTTTAATGCTTGGATGGTCCTCCCCCTATTTCTGCCTCCCAAGTAGGCTGAATTACAGACTTGAACCACACTGCCAGCCTATAGTTTTTTTTTTAAGTAGATAAGGGTCATCAGTGTGTCTCCTATATTCCTAAGGTTATAGTGGGAAAGTCATAGGTCAAGATGAAATTCATAATAACATTATGAGAAAAATTACTAATTACAAAAGCATTGAGGGAAGGGATGCTTACTAAGCAAGTCTGCAAATTCAAAGTCACCAGCTCAGGACAGTGTGCACCTATGTACTTAAGAGCTTCATCTTCTAGCTACAAGGATAAAGAAACAAGAAAGTGATTACTGATAGTGTGTCAAGGGAAAAATATTTAAGAATATATACATTCATTAATACATCATCAAAATAGCCAACCAAGTTTCAAAGTATCAATGAACTAGAGTAAATTATTATCATATGAGTGTAATTAAAACTGTTCCCATCACATTAAATTCACACAATCATCATCAATTTAAGTAAAATAGAAATTGCCCAGTGTTCATAGACATATTCCTGTTAAATTATATATGCCTTATAACATTTTGTAGCAGGATTATGAAGTTAAAATAATTTCTACACCTTAAAACACCTAGTTTTTTTGTTTTTTTCCATGGTCCTCTGGCTTGAACTCAGGGTCTGGGTACTGTCCCTGAGCTTTATTGGTCAAGGCTAGTGCTCTACTATTTGAGCCACAGCTCCACTTTGTACTTTTTTGTGGTTAATTGAAGAGTTCTATAGACTTTATTATCTGGGATGGCTTTGAACCATGATCCTCAGATCTTAGCCTTCTGAGTAGCTAGGCATGAGCCTCTGGATCAACTTTCAGGAGAAGTAACAAAGGATAGAATCCTCAGTGTTTATCTGCTGTTGGTATGCTTATAGTAATGAGGACAGATGGCGAGCCATTTATCATAATGATGCATTCTAATCAATATTTTAGGATTATATAAACAACCAGAAGCTCAAGCTGTTGTTTTAAGGTAGTCATACATCTAGAGCTCTGCTTTAAACTCCTCCCGCTGTGGTAAAAGCGTGAGGGTAAATTTATTAAGAGCTCCAGGGTATAGCTTTAGTAACCATTGATAAAATAAGGTAAAGACTAACCCTACTTAGTCAGGCACATTTAAATCTTCTCTCTTTCAACAGTGGGATTTGAACTCGGCCTCACATGGGCTAAGCAGGCACTCTATAGATGAGCCACACTTTCAGTCCTTTTGTGCACTTTTTTTTTTTTTTTTTTTGGTCAGTCATGGGGCTTGAACTCTGGGCCTGGGTGCTGTCCCTGGGCTCTTCAGCTCAAGGCTAGTGCTCTACCACTTGAGCCACAGTGCCACTTCCGGCTTTTTCTGCTTATGTAGTGCTGAGGAACCTAGGGCCTCATACAAGCAAGGCAAGCACTCTACCACTGAGCCACCTTCCCAGTCCTGCACTCATTATTTTTGACACTGGCTTCTGCCTGGGTCTAAGGCTGGACTATGATCTGCACATTTTAAGTATTCTGTTGGAGCTGAGATTTCAAAGTATAACATCATAACTAGCTTCATGAAATGGAGTCTCATGGACTTTTCTACCTGAGCTGGCCTGGAACCACAAACTTTTTTTTTTTTTGTCAGTCATGGGGTTTGAACTCTGAGCCTGGGCACTGTCCCTCAACTCTTCAGCTCAAGGCTAGCACTCTACCACTTGAGCCACAGTGCCACTTCCAGTTTTCTTGTGGTTTATTGGAGATAAGAGTCTTACGGACTTTCCTATCCAGGCTGGCTTTGAACCGCGATCCTCAGATCTCAGCCTCCTGAATAGCTAGGATTGTAGGCAGGAGCCACAGGCGCCTAGCCCACAAACCTTTTAAACTCAATCTTCCATATAGCTGAGATGACATAAATGAGCCATCATACACAGCTACTGATTGAGAAAAGAGTCTCCTTTATACCCCAGCTGAACTCAATTCCCAGCCCAGAAAAAATATATTTGATCAGTTCTTTTAGACTCCATTTGTTAAGTTCCCTTAAGTTCCTGTTCATAAAAATTTTAGAGCCAGGCTCTGCTGATTCACTCTTGTGACTGTAGTGACTCAGGAGGCTGAGATCTGAGGGTCATGGTTCAAAGCTGGCCTAGGCAGAAAAATCTGTGAGATTCTTATCTCCAATTTCACACCAAAAAGATGATAGTGGAACTGTATAAAGCTCAGGGACAGCACTCAGGTCTTCAATTTAAGCCTTAGTACCAGAACAAAAATGAAGAGGAAAAAAATTTAAAATTTTAATAACAGGATGTGTTGGATCTGTGATGCAACAGGGAGAAAATAAACCAAAACACTATAAAATTCACGTTGCTGTGTATGCTTGGCATAATTGTGAACAATTCCTGGTGGTAAACGGAATTGACAAGACTGACTTTCTTGCTTAACCAGTTCCAAATCAAACTTTTTCAGTTCAGATTAAACTACATGAAACTCTTCTTTCCCATGACATATCCTTGGTATAAGCACATCTCTCTACCTTGTTCCCTCCCAATTTATCTTTGTTCAGATATTAATTCTTCTCCTTCTTTAATTCCAAGGAACACTTGGTAACCATGTGTCTTTGAATTCCCATTTCCTTCAAGACAAACATGGAGCCTACAAAGGGATCATGCTCCCTCTGACTTTCATAAGCACTATATAGAGTATTACCTGTGTGCAGCCTTTTAAGAATAAGGCCTTGAGACCCCCACAGCCTCTCACTAGTGCTTGAATGCCATCCTTGGTTACTTGGTCACACCAGGAAATGTTCAACTGCTCCAACAGTGGACATCCCTCACTTAGGATTAAAAAAAAACAACAACAACAGACAAGCATATCACTATATCTAATTTCAAAGGTACTGAAGTCTCATTTTTGTGGTGTTTATGTGAAATTCTATCACTAACAGGACCATATCAAATCCATTTTAATCAACATAACACTACATTTCAAATACAGATGGGAACAGAGATTAAGTGACAATTGTCAAGTTTACAGTTTAGTGTTCAGATTCAAACCTGGATTATCTATCAAGTAATTCTGTTTATATCAACAAAATAAGAACTTTTATTAAAAAAGTACAAAGGCTCTGTATATTTTCCTTTTCTGGAACATTTCCAGAATATGTTTCTTTTTTTTTTTTCTGGGGTCCGGTCGTGGGGCCTGAACTCTGGGCCTAGGCGCTGTCCCTCAGCTCTTCAGCTCAAGGCTAGCACTCTACCACTTGAGCCACAGTGCCACTTCCGGCTTTTTTCTTTTTGATTATGTGGTGCTGAGGAATCGAACCCAGGGCCTCATGTATGCAAGGCAAGTGCTCTACCACTGAGCCACCTTCCCAGCCCCAAGTATTCTTTTTTTTTTTTTTTGGGTCCGGTAGTGGGGCCTAAACTCTGAGCCTGGGCGCTGTCCCTCAGCTCTTCAGCTCAAGGTTAGCACTCTACCACTTGAGCCACAGCGCCACTTCCGGCTTTT